AAGGTTCCTGAGTGAGTATCCAAAGAACGCGTACCATTGCTATGAGCGTGCTATGGCCATGCTGCTTGGTGTGACTGGTCAACAACAAAATCTTTACATTGTGTTAAAGGTGAACCTCGGGCACATTCAAGTCATATTAGTTATTTGAATTCATACATGACAGTGGCTACGTGAACGGGGGAACGGAGGTCCAGAATCGTCTTATCTAAACATAGGCATGTAACAGGCACATAATCTAGGGGAATAGTGGGGTCTCAAGAATAAGAGAGAAGGAAGGGAAGGGGAATGGGAAGAGCAAGGGGAAGGGGAAAGGGAAGGGGAAGGGGAAGGGGAAAGGGAAGGGGAAGGGGAAGGGGAAGGGAAGGTGTTCAAAATTAGACGTAGAACCATTGCAAGGGCAGTATATGAAAGTCTTTTGCTCTAGATGTAACTGTTGGGAGACAAGTACTACCATCAGAATACATTAGAGTATGCAGCAGAAGTCTCCAATGTTCTAGGAGCCTGTACTACACAGCCAGCAGGTGTTAAGAGTGGAAAAGCAGACTGAGGCAAATGTAACAGTCTTCCTGGTGACAGCTACTACATATTTTGTTATTTGGCCAGCTGGAGTGTTGCAGTTCATTCAGCAACTAACTAATCTGTTAACGCATGGGCTGGAAAGCACTTTGCAAGGCTTTGACATGTACTGCACTTTGTGATGTTTTTCAGAAATAAAAAAGGAACAGTCAAACATTACCATGTGCACAAAACCCCTGAGAACAAGTATTACCTCGCTGAGAATTACTGTTTTGAATCAATTCCCAAGCTTATACACTACCATCAGCACAACTCAGCTGGTAATTCTATATGCTCTTTCTACTTGATTGGCTTCGGCTTCGGCTGCTAGACTTCTCAGCATTATGGTGAATCTCTTCCAATACTGAACACTCTAAATATTGAAACATCTTTTCGGAGAGTTTGGGCGGAATTGATCTAACATATTCATAATCAATACAGTTGCTTTCCTTTGCTGTACAGTGCTTTTTGGTATTGTACTGCCTCTTCTTGCAATACCTCTGCTGGACTAGCCCTTAAGCACAGAAAATTTTCAATCTTGTGAAGTGATGCAGCAGCTGCTGAACACTGAATATTGAATATCTGTCATTACCTGGATGGTTGTAATATGGCAGGGAGAGGGAGGTATTAGTTTCCCTGTATCTTCTTTGATTTCAGAAGACTCATGTATATATTATCACCTTTAACAGGTTTTCTTTGTAGGTATGGTGACAAGGCTCCGGCATGCAGTGTCTACGCAAGTAAATAAAGTCCCATCCACAGCTTCATTAGGAAATGGTATGAAGATAACTTTCCTTTTTGAAACTGGGGTCAGTCTTGGCCACCAAGAAAAGAACAACCAGAAAATCATGACTCTTACTGCTTTCAGGCTTGCAGGGGGTTACAGAATCTTTCTTTGGTGGCCATTTCCACTTGTCCATGCAGGAGGCAATGTGAGAATCTGGGAAGGATGGTCTTTCAGTCAATAGCTCCTTCTGTAGTTTCCTCTTGTCCAGTGTAGCATTGAGACTTTATGGTTCTATGAAATAGGGTATCCCTTCCTACAAGTGCATCTAGTCTACATCCAGGGCAACATGAATGCAAAGGCATTTTATATCAACTTTTATGTTGTGCCCTTTTTAAGGCATTTTATGTCAGGTCTTATATCAACTTGCAAGACCTTGGATGCTTCCTTCCCCAGCACATCTGAGTCATGGCCATTCTTTCCCTTTGCCACATTACCTGGCACAGTAATACTTGTTCTCCAGTCTCCTACATGAAAATATATCGTCATTTGATGCATAAATCTTCCTCAAATCTATTTATATGGCTTAAACCTAAGCAGTAGCAAACAACATTTGTAGGAAGTGTAGTCTCCTTCCATAACTCAAACACAAAGCTGAGAGACAGGTGTGCTGCATGGTTCTGCAACCCTTCAGAGAAAACAACAGCATTGCATGTGGGGGATACCACGCTTGCATTTGTCCTTTTTTTTTTTTTGCTAAAGGAATTTCTTTTGTCCCACTAGGAATCTGGGAGCTGAAACGAGAAGAAATTGTCTTGTTGAGAGAGCTAGGGAGTGGTCAGTTTGGAGTTGTGCATCTGGGAAGGTGGAAGGGACAATATGATGTGGCCATAAAGACGATTAAAGAGGGAGCAATGTCAGAAGATGAATTTATAGAAGAGGCTCAGACCATGATGTAAGCTATGGCATTGCTTAATTATTTGGAAATAATGATCTCCCCAAACATCAGTCAGTATTGTATAGCACACACGGGAAAGAGAATTTCCTCTTAAAAATAGCATTAAGTAGCATTGAGTATATTAGGCACAAGCTAAATAGGTAGCCATATAGGATATTTGAAGTATTACCAAAATAACTTCACAAAGATTGATACAGTCATCTACAAATTTTTCAATTAACATCTCTTCCACAACTTCAGAAGTTCCGCATATGTCACTTAAAACTCTGCTTCATTAGCATTTATACAGAAACGGTTAGAAAGCTGTTCCTGCCATCCTGCAGGTAGGAATGAGAGACAGATCAATAACTGAGAAATGTCAGAAATATGAACATGAGACTTGAAGTTTTAGTCTCTGATTCCAAAGAGGTAAGGATGTTAGAATTTCCAGTGAAATTCCATGATATGATAATTGAAGCATACGAATTCAAGAATATTTCATATGTGTCGTATCCTGAAGGAATGCACTACATTCCTCAGTTAACTATCTGATACGATCAGGATTCTCAATGTGAAATTTTGCAACATGGTTTTAGTAGAAAACCTTAAGGTGGTCCATCCCACCAACTCAGATCTATTTTCTCCCACCAATAAGGTTGTACTTTTGCACTGCTAAATGCTATTTCAGGTTTTGTCTGTAAAGTTGTCATTTCATCAATACCGACTCTTCTTTTGATTGTCATCAATACTGAGTTTCAAAGTAATCAGCAGAAGGACACTCAGTTCTTCTTGAAAAGGAATATTTGAAGTCTGAGATGGGACTGTACCCAATCTCAATAATTTCTTTCAGTATGTTGTATTAATATTTGAAGAACAAAACTTAAAGAAATGCACAAGAATCTCCATTTATTCTTTGATTATTTTATTTTTATTTATTTCAGGAAACTTAATCATCCCAAACTTGTTAGACTGTATGGTGTATGCTCAAAATCATATCCCATCTATTTAGTGACGGAATACATGCCTAATGGCTGTTTGCTTAGCTACTTAAGGAGTCATGGGAAGGAACTACAACCCCTTCAGCTTCTGGAAATATGTTATGATGTTTGTGATGCTATGGCATTACTGGAGAGCGGTCAGTTCATACACAGAGATTTGGTAAGCTATCCCACGGGAGAAGTGGAACAGGGAAGGTAGGGGGATGGCCTAACACCAGGCAGTCCTACCCCTCAGGGTCACCCACAGCTGCACTGGCTCTGTTGGCACTCACCCCAGGAAGCATTGAGGTCCACTGAACAGAGACACCCAGCTGGCTCAGTACAAGGCAGCTCTGGGGGAGCAACGCTAAATCCACATGTAAACAGCACTGCCCACAAGCTAATACGCTCTGCTTCAGAGCTGAGCTGACGGGTCTACAGCACTGCATACTGTGCTGCCTGCATTTATGGGCTCTAACCTCAAGGATTTACGCACCACTTGGCAGCACAGACATCCAATTGTAAAATTAGTCCACTGAAGTAAAGGGTTCTGTCCAATGATGCTGTAGTCCTCCAGGAGAAAGCGGTGCAACATTAAAGATTTGGGTCACTTAGATTGTTTTTTGATGAGTTAGGGATTTATCTAATTGGGAACTACTTCTCTTATAAAACAAGCGTGAACACTACTAGGATAAACTGGAATTTACTCTGGTGCATTGCAAGCAGGAACAGAACTTGAAAGTCTGCAGCTGCCTAGCTCTTTTAAATACATTTATCTGCCAGTTTTCAAGCAAGTGTTTCAAGTTGCTTTCGAGGAAGGGATCAGGCCTTTCAAGGACTTGGACCGAAAGTTTATGCAAAACTTAGCTTTCAAGAATGCTGGCTTTGGGGAAATAAGCTGTTATTTTATTGGCCTATTAAAAGTGAACCTAGCCAAATTTCTGGTGCATTGTGCGTCAGAGTCAGTAGCAGTATTTTGCCTTCTAACTCTACACAAATATACGTTGGAAGATTTGTAAAAATTTATGTTACAGACTGGCTTAATTTTCCAATAGTCTCCTCAGGTAGCATTTTAAATGTCTTGTTGATGCTTTCAAAGAATTGTCTTTATGTGTAAACAAAGTTGTTAAATCCATACCTCATCAATTTTCACACCCTGATTCAGAAATCAGGAATATCAGACAATTTAAGTAGCAGAATTCAAGTTGCAAATATAAATTCAGTTTCCTGAAAACTGGCTGTGTACCATGGGAAAAGAGAAATAAAACATGAGCTTGATTTCAGGTTGAGAACTGTAGATGCAAACGGTATCACAGAAATTAATAAGCACACAGGCAGAGAATACAGCCTTAGATAAATGTTCTCAAGTGATCATTTGCAGAACTAGGCTTATATTGAACTTTTCATATATCAAGCTGTTTAAATCACCTTTCATTGCTCCACTCTGTTTATAGTGCATTGCAAATAATCTAATCAATGTTTTTCACTCTTTGATGCCTTGGTAAATTCTGAGACTACTGAAAAGGACCCTGCAGTAGGATGCCATTTGAAAGACAGGGTTTAGTTTCTGGCTCTGTTGCTGTTTTTCTAGGTGAATGTGGGTTTCTCACCTCTGTTTCCTCACCCCTCAATGTCCTTATTTGTAAAGCTAGGATAATGGTAAAGAATGTTTTTCAATAAATAGTCAAAAAGTGAAATAAGAGAGCTACTTACTGTTCCCTTACAGTTCCAAACTTAATTGCTTCAACCAAAGAATGTCATTATTCATTCAAATGCTAGAGGACAGAAATTATTATTAGCGAATTACCAAGACATGATGCTATTTGCTCCTTTTTTGTATTTTTTCCACTCATCCCTTTTCTCATTTCTCTACTAAAGGCTGCTAGGAACTGTTTGGTTGACAGCAATCTTACTGTGAAAGTATCTGACTTCGGGATGACTAGGTAAGTAAAAGCCTTGTGAAGCAATGATGTTAGTGTATATATAGTTTACTGGCATTGATCAGCTAGCAACTGGCTGTTAGTTAAGCCACAGGGTGTGATACAGCTCTTTGTACCTCCTTTCCTTTAATGACCATGAGCTGTTATGGGGTTAGAATATAGTCATTCTACTGCCTCAGAGAGTTAAGGCTTAAAGGCCAATCGCAGCTGAGAGATTTGACTAGTCATGTTTGTTAAAGAAATCTCAGTTTGCTTTGTGTACAAGGTTTTCACCTAATTTGGGGGCCAAACATCTTAATCAGCAACCTCAATGGAGGGAAGTTGGAGAGGATGAGCAGCCTAAAGAACGTGTCCTCTGAGATAAAGGCTGAGGGAGCAGGCTGCTTAGTGTGGTGAAGAGGAGGCTAAGAGGGGATCTAAAAGCTGCCTATAGCTACTTACGGTTACAAAACTGATGGAGCCAAATAAGTCTTATCAGTGCCAGGTGATATAACAGCAGACATCAGCCACATATTGTAGCTCGGGAAGTTCAAGCTGGACAGTAGGAGAAGTTGTTTCCCCAAAAGGGTGGTGAAACATGCCAGTCAGGGAGACTATGAGATTGCAATCTTTGGTGGCTTTTAAAACTTGGCTACACAGAGCCATGGTTGACCTGATCTGATGTCGGGAGTAATCCTATTTGAGCAGGAGGGTGGGCTAGATGGCCTTACAACAGGCATTTCTATGATTCTGCACTATTTCTCTAATAAATTGATAGCACTGATCTGTTCTATATATTATAGCTAATGCCTCTATCAGGTATCCTTTGGAAACCTGGGTTTTTTCTGCCCAGGGTTTTCTTAGGAACCTTGTGATGTACAAGGAAGAAGCAGTAAATAGTATTTCACTGTAACTCGGCCACAGCCAAGCTTGGTTCTTGCCTTGTAGGTATGTTCTGGATGACCTGTATACAAGTTCACCAGGAACCAAGTTTCCAGTGAAGTGGTCAGCACCAGAAGTTCTTCATTACACCAAATTTAGCAGCAAGTCAGATGTATGGGCCTTTGGTATGTATGGAATTTGACATATAAATAAGTATGCATGTATGTCATTACATTTGGTTTTCCTCAGCTTACTGAGCAGAAATGCTAGACATTTACACACTGAAGGAATGTAATAAGCAGTTACAGTTTATGTTCTTGTTTAATATTTTTATGCATCCAAGCCCTATCCTCTTTGGATTTTTTTTTAGCCCTACTGTTTTTCTTTTAGGCACATAGAAACTCTGCTGGCTCCCCGTTTGCTATATATGTGTTTAACATGGTAAAGTAAACTGTTGGCAGAGGTGATCAAATGATATCTTTGGTGTATCTAGACCATAAATCAGTGCTGCCCAAGTCGAAAAAGCTTTTCTGTTAGTCGCAGAGGTCAGAGTGGACTCTGTGCATAAGCCAGCTGTGGAAGAGAAATCTGTGTGAGCTGGGACTCTCTATCTCAGCAAAAATAAGATGTGTTTGCAGATCACTTTCTACCCAGGAATTTCAAACATTTGAACTTCTACTTCAGTGGTTTTCAAGCTGTGGTTTACAAATATCTGGAGTCTGTTCAGTGTTTCTAAAAGTCTGCAAAAGGTGTCAAAGGAAAGGGAGCCTTTTTGGAATGGGCCTAAATTCCACTAACATGGATTTGCTCCTCCAGTAGGAAAATTTTGGCAGCTGTCAAGCTGATGAAAGATTGGCAACCCACTCTTCTTGACATTCAACAATGGTGAATAAAGCAGATGAAAGTGTTACCAAATGCTGGGCTGCTTCTTATCTTTAACTTCAGCTAGTCTCCCAATATTAACAACTCTGGCAGAGAAACAGCTCATTCATGCCCTTTACAATTTGTTTATAATACATACGATTAAATCAGAAGTTGGATTTTCTGGTGATACGTTTTCTTTTTGCTCTTATCGATGAAATCTTGGCTCCAGGCTCTACTGTTGTTAACTCCAATATTGGCATTAACTTCAATGAGGAATGTTATTTTTCCTTAGAAGGTCTTCTCTCATTTTAACACTATCCATTGATGCAGTGAAAGCAAGGGGAGAGTGCGATCCATCAGTTCTTGTTTAGTGGTTTTTAACTAATGAGTCTTTAAAGGGCTAAAGAACTGAACTGATGTATTCATATCCCAAAAGCAGATGTCAGAGAACAAATAATCTTGGTTTTTTAATGTTCTCATCAGGGAATGCTGGGATTCGTGTGCCATTTTATTCTGATCCTACTGTGACACTACAATGCTCCAGTCTTCAAGCTGGAGGGAAGTCAAAGATCCAACAAATTTCTTTTTCAAAAAAAACCATTACTGCCAGTATTATATATTATTGTGAAATAAATATTTCACAAATTTTTGTTTACTTTATGGTTGGCATGATTATGACATATGTTCAGTTACAACAAATATTGTTTCTTGCAAAGCTATCATTATGAATTAATGATTATGATATTATCCAGTGTTTCTATTGCTTCAGTATAATCCAGTTTTTATAAGTACATGTAGTTGACACCATAAAGTATTCAGAAATCTTTCTGATACCAAAGGAGTATATGTCCCACTCACTTAAACAAATCAGTAAAAATTTTCTTATTATTCTATAAAAACATAGATACTTGTAGCTGCCATTTTGTTTTTCCTTCTCTCTCTGTGTACACACACACACATATATAAGGGGATATTTGTATGTATTTTGTAAAAAATTCAGTCCAGGGATAGCTATGTCTTGGGTTATCTCCATCATTGTCCACGTTAAATATATTTTTTAACTAACTTTATCATCTAGCTTTACCTTCTTCTGCAGTAGAAGTTGTTTTGCATTTGGGTACAGAATCACACTTGTCAGTCATCTCCATACTTTTGTTTGGACAATATTCTTTGTAAAGAGTCTGATCGGTTGTATGTTGCATGTGTGTCTTGTTCTGCAAAAAAGGGGTTCTCTCGCATTTCTTGACTTTTATTTCTTGTCTTCCACTGCTGCGAATATTTTTGCAGGTATCTTAATGTGGGAAGTGTTCACTTTGGGAAAGCAGCCCTATGAGCTTTATGATAACATGCAGGTGATTGAGAAAGTTTCTCAAGGATACAGACTTTATAGACCACAACTGGTTTCAGACATCATCTACCAGATAATGTACAACTGCTGGCATGAGGTATGTATATCTGCACATACAAACTGGAGGAAACAAAGTAAAAGGAGTCACTAGGAGTCCCTGTTGATAACTGGCTGAATTAATGTTCAGGGTGGAAAATATCCCTTATAAAAGCCATTGCTTGTGTGTAGTACATTCTATATAGCAGCCTAGTTCAAGACATTGTTAGTACAGGAAACGGCATAAAGGAAGATTGTCTCCCTCCTTTTCAGAACCATGTATTTAAGCAAATAACAGTAAAATACCCTTCAAAATCAGCATAATATACAGGATGAGATTCTTCTCACCTAATTTTGATGGTTTAAAATTTGGGTGCTGCGCTAAGGTAATTGTCTAAGTTTCTTCCATGATTACAGGACCGTTACTGGTACCTCTCCATGGTCATTTGTCCTTTCTATCTTAGCCACCACAGAATAAAAGAGATCTGCTTTCCTATACAAAGATCTTAAACAGCAAATGTAGATGAGACCTCTACCTTTTTAGATAGCTAAAGTTGCGTGAAATAACCTCACCCTTAGAATGAGAAGGATGTGTTACCCCGTCTGTGAGTCTTCTAGGACTTGTAAGTCAAATGCTGATCATGCTCATTTTATTTTGAGAGGTCTGCGTCTTCTGTGCCAAGAATTATCCTGATTTATTGTTCCTCTTCATCTAAATTTTAGTCAGCTGTCTGCGGACCATGACTTGTTTCTCACCAGCAACAAAGAACTGTTTGGCATGTTATTGGTGATACTATGAAATGACAGTGATGTTTGGGGGTTTTTTTTAATATAATTGTCAGAAAAATGAGAAAAGTAACTTATATTTGAGGACATGTTAACGCAAAGAGAATATTAAACTATCACAACATAAGATAGATATAAAAAGTGAATTTAATTTTCTTTACCTCATAATTAGCAGTCTCTACAAATTTCTGCATGCTAAAATCAAGAAAAACTACTGCAAATTACAGTTCCTGAATTATTTCAAAATTAAATAACCGTACCCATCATCTTTGCTTCATTTAGCTACCAGAAAAGCGGCCTGCCTTTTTTCAGCTCTTATCATTTTTTGAGGCACTGAGAGAAGACAACAGAGCTTGAAAAAGAAGATTCAGAAACAGATGACTGTGCATACTGGTTCCATATCACCTCTTTTCTGTACGAGAGCTAAATCTGAAATTTGCCTGACATTCGCCACCCCTATTATTCTGTATATTAGTGTTCTTCTCATTTAATCAGGGAGTTGACCGAGAAGCGTACGGAGAAAGCTTTTGTGACACTCAGTGGGTGACAGAATTTGGAAGGATACTGTGGAAGAATATAATTCATTTTGTTAGCATTGTCTCAAAGGACTTCTCAGACACTGAGATATATATACCAATTGTGTACACTCCTGCAGTGCTTCCAAGCTGTCATTATTTGGCCTTAACTGCAAATGTAAATAGGGAAATATATGCTTGTTAGGTTTTCTGATTATCATAACTCATCCGAATGTGTTTTTTCTTTGTAATCACTTGAAGCTGACACCTGAAGTCAAATTTAGAACTGCTGCAAGTGACAGCAACCTAAATAGTTATAGTCTCGCTTTCAATTGCTTTGATATTACTACTAGTAAAATATTGTATCAGTTTGCTTACCAGTACTATTGACTTCAGTTTCGGCCCTCAAGGTGTACATTTGATTTGGAATTTATTCTAAGCCACATATCTAAGATATTTGCAACTTAGCAACATATGAGGTGATTACTAGTGTTAATGCTTCCTGCTACAGGTAAAAACAGAGGAAAAAAAAAGTTTTATGCAGAATTCCATAGTCATTGCAATAGTAAATGATAAATTTGCTGATCTCTATACAACCTGAAGAGCAAAAATCTGAAGAGAACTGAAAATGCTATTAATATAATTGCTTAGCCAAATATTTTACTACTGAGGAGCTGAAATTTGGGTCCTGATGTTAACACTTAAATAAGAGCACCCTACTTTCAAATGTGCATAGCACTACACAAATTAGTGCTAACTTCAGTAAGTCTAGAGACACCAAATACATCTGAAGCTACATAACTATAACAGAGGCATCTAAACTTAGACACTGACATTTGTAAAATGCTGATCTAATATGTATAAAATAAAGGGGTTTTAAAATAAAGTAAGGTCTGAAAAACCTCCTCTCCTCTCTCCTTATATTTGAGCTAGTTCAGTGTGTGATGCCTCTAAGAGTCCAAGTGATGTCTGCTTGCCCTTTCCCTGGTGGAGCTGGCCCAAGCCCTAGCAGGGACCTCTCTGCAGCTCCAGTTTGAGCTCACCTGAACCTAGGGACTAAGAAAGGCAGGGTGCAGTCATGTGGGGAGAGGGGAGGAAGAAATGAAGGTCTCTGGCCAGCCAGAGGCTCCAGCGCCTGTGCTTGCTGGTGTTGCCTGGTCCCAACACTGGAAGCTGGCTAGCAGAGCGAGTCCCTGACTACATGGGGAGCTGTGCGCGTGTTTGAGGGAAAGCAGCATTTGGAGTCATGCAAATGACTGTGGGGATCTCGACAGGCCTGGCGGGCCATGGGAGGCTGCACATGAGGGAGAGGTAGGGCATGGTATGATGTTGCCTGTGCAGCAAGCTGGGCCAAGGAGCGCTGACCGAGAGAAAGGGTCAGGAAGGAGTGCTGACACAGATATAGTATGAGAGGAGGGTGGGCCTCTCGGGTGGGCCCCCCCAGCACAGAGGGTGTGAGGTATTGTCGGGGCTAATGCATGCAGTTGATTTTTTTAGTATAAACATTGTCTTTTTATTTCTGTTCTTCCAACATCCTGCTATATTTTTTTAGTGGCTTTACGTGTTGACAATTCTGAATGGTGTTTTTTGATTCATAGCACAGCTTTTAAAATTAATTGCTTTGAAATGAAAGCTTTGCCTTAATGGAAATGCTAATCTTAACAACATATCTGAAGATGGCTGGCATGACTAATTACGCTATTTGATTGTTTCCAGCTTTACCATTCCCTTTTTCTGTTACTGTACGGTAAGTGGGAAGACCACATATGGTTGAATTATTTATCTTAAAAGTTCAGCTAAAGTACTAAGGTTTGGGGATGTTATGGCAATGGGATATGTGGTGTAGGTGGGCAGCTTACTTAAAGAAAAATTATTTTCATTCCTTTACATTCCTGTCTAGTTTGCAGTTAATCAGCATCATCTGCCTACCGTTTCGAACTGTCTCATTTAAGGGTCCTGCCTCTTAAATAGGAAATGAGTGTGGAGCATTAGGATAGTGTTTTGTGAGCCCACAGAGTCCAGCTGTATGTTTTCAGATATGTGTTTGACTGCTTTCTACAGTTTCTGATAATTTGGGAGGCCCATGAGTTTAAGAGTCCGTGCAATTGCTGAACGTTTTTCACGCAGGCTTGTGTTTGCTACCGGCTCTTTGTCAGAACACAGGACTGAGTAGACATCTTGTGCCTTTCAGCACCCCTGGTGTGTACAGAACAACCGCACTGGCATGGTGGCAGGTATGGCAGGGGACCTACAAGACACAGAATCATAGAAGTGCTGGCTGGAAGGGACCTCTGGAGGTCATCTAGCCAAACTTCTCACTCAGAGTGGGACTGTCCCCACTGCTCGATCAGCCATACCTTTGTCTACCTGAGCACTGAACACTTCTAAAGGTGGAGATCCCACAGCCCCTCGCAGAGCATGGAATAGGCAACCTGTTCCAGTGCTGCACTACCCTCCTTGTGAACAGCTTTTCTTTTTCAGGGGCAACCTGAACCTCCCCAGCCTCAGCCTACTGCCCCCTGTATGTAATAGTGAAATTTGTATTTGCAGTATGCAGTATTTGTAATGCAGTATTTGTAACAGTGGAGGTAATGGCTAAGGTACTGAAAAAAAAAAAAGGAACTTTGATCATTAGTATTAAAGAAGTTTATTCCATTTTTGGATGACAACATAACACAGATCTTTTAATTTTTTTTTTTTTGTGGGGGGGGGAGCATGGGCTATTTGATCTCTACATTACTTATCAAGCAGTTAGAAAAATAACTTATGTTACAACTTCCTAACAAAGTTCCAGTGCTTGTTAGTCTTCATCCAGTATCCATTTTACATTGATACAGATTTCCTGAAGGTGCAAAAATTGCAGTTATTTCATATCAAATTGAGTTCTTCATCACTAAGGTTCTTCTGGTGGTCAGGTTTTTTTCTCACTGTCTATTAGATACACTTTTGGGGTCTCCGTCTGGAAAGATCAAGATGTTCCTCATGGGCATTAGGAGTATGTGAGTTATTCTTATGTCTGTCTTGATCTGTATACAACTGCATACTTCCAAGCTTTTGTATCTCATTACAGAGGAAACAAAGAGAAGTTGGATGCAGCACACTTACTTATGAAAAGCAGCACAAATAGTGTGTAATATTATGCACATAATTCATAGAAAAGCCACAGGACATATATAGCTTCAGTTTTTGCATGTTTTCTAGTTACCGCATAAACAGCCGATTTAGTTTCTGTTGTCTATGAACCAGTAGATTAATGGTCAACCAGAAGACATTATGTTTGATGACATCCGTAGTGTTTTGGTCCTTGCTAGGCTCTATTGTTAAAAGTGACTTGAAAAAAATGAGAAACCCTTAGTGTACCCACGTCTTCTAGAATGATGTTTGTGTGTCTTCACGTGGCTCAAAACCCATGTTGCTTTTTCCCCCTTCATTGTAAGGGTTCACCTCTTCACAGTTTGTTCTTGCTTCACCCTTACTTTCTCTTGCTCTCCTGTAATGAAAATTCATTTTATTTTAGAAGCCCCTGTTCAAGTCCTTCTGGATCCCCAGAATCCCCTACTGTAAATAATACCGTGTTTAACTGGGAATATTTATATAAAAGGAATTGTGTTGGTTTTAAGGGGGACTGTAGCAAACCTACTACGTTCTTAGAAACCCCATTAATGGAGAGACATAGAAAACCAACCCAGCTATATTGCTGTTAATGCAATAATATTTAAGGAAAATTATGTTACTGGACAGCCTCCAATAAGATTATTGAAAACTGCAGGTGCTGATGAATGTGGGCAACTCTGCTGCTGGAGAAGGCACTGTGTTCCCAGCAGGCCACTCCATCCACCTTGCAGCAGGGTTAGCAGAAGCCTGGCCATGCCGTGGCTCCCTGCGGCCACAGCATCCAGCTGCCTTGGTTAAACTGCTGATGATGGGGAAATTGCACTAAGCTGCCAAAGCTGCCGTGCACTGAAAGGCAGGGAGCTGAACCTTTAGCTATCACTGCTGATGGGAGCGGGATAATAAGCTTCAATTCCTTAACTTGCTTCAGTTAGATTTGGCAGCCTACTTGTAAGCACCCTGATGATTCAATCATCAGGACATCTCCCAGTGGTCATGATCATAGTATCAAAAATATTACTCACTTTTTGCGATCTCTCTGCCCAGTGACGATCAAGACAATAACTCCAATGACAACCAGGCTAATGACCACCCCAAATATAATTAACCAGATGGTGACTGGTGGTTCATAAGGTGTGGCCAGGGTTGGAACTATGCCCAGAAACTCCAGCGTGTTATCATCCAGCCTGAAAGCCTCATTGATTCGTCCCCGAGACATCCTGCCATCAAGAGCAAATTCAAAGAGTTTCATACGTTTATTGGAAGGAAATAAACAGTTTTCAGTTGTTTTATAAATCTCCAGTGTGCCAAGCTTCTCCTGAAGTTGAAAAGGCTGCACAGGAGGTACTGCTAAACCAATATTCCTTCTGACATGGGGTGGTGAGTGACAACCACAGTAACTTAAGCCCTTAACCTGTTGCAGCTTTACTGACATGTTCAGACACTGTATGAACTCTTAAACTCAGTCTTAACATTTATCAAAATGAGGCAAACAAACAGCCTTCTGATCTCCCTCTCTATTTGCATTTTGCCCCTCATTCTCTTTACCCTAAGTTGTTGGCTATCCATAAGTTTGTTGGATATGCGACAGAAAACCACAGCTTTGACATCTTACTTGTTTCAATCCTACAGTCTTCCTTGGTTTTGATTCTTGTGTTTTTCACTGCCCTTAAAACCCTTTCCCTGGTGTATTTTCTGTGCCTTGTTTTTTCCTGAACTTCTGCTTCTGCT